TTCCCGACCACCGCCACCGCCTTCTCACCGTTAATCGGGGGGCCGCGAGCAGCCGGAGCAGAGCGTTCCCGGTGGCAACGGCCGTACAATAACAATATACGTGTATAGTATAGGACGTACAGCGGTGGCTGTGTGGAACGGGCTGACGGGTCGGTGGAGGGGTGTCGGGCGAGGGGTGGCTCAGTGGGAGGGAAGCGGTGGAGGCGGCGGCGGCGGCAGCGGCGACCGGGAGGAGTCCCGACGCCGCGCGCCGCTCGCAACGCCGCCGGAACAGCTGCACACGCCGAGGGGAACCGAACGAGGCCTCGAACGCGTACTAAATTTAGACGGCCCCGCCAAAGTAGTTGGATGTGTAACGACGACTACGGCGACTACGGCGACGACGACGACAACGACGACGACGACTACGAACTACTACGACGGTGGCGGCGGTGGCGGTGGTGGTGGTGGTGGTGGTGGTGGTGGCGGTAGTGGTGGTGGTGGCGACGGCGACAGCGACAGCGACAGCGCGCGCAGTCAGTGACGTTACGGGGATCCCTTCTGGTGCGCGGTCCGCTCATTCGCTCCGTCTATAGTTCGAATAGTAATAGTAATAATAATAATAAAACAACGCACCGCGCGCGCCGCTGCACGGTCGGTCACTCAAGCTATATATTATTATTATTATCGTCACTCACTCGAGCACACGCGCGCCACCGTAGCACACGTTGTCACGCGAACATGTCGTCCGGGTGCTAGTCATCAACGCTGTCTGCTCGTTTGTTTGTTTGTTTGTTTAATTTGTTTTAATTTTTTGAAAAATTAATTTTTTTCCGTTTAAATTTTTTTTTTTCATTTCAAAAGTTTTATCTCGTTACGAAAAATTTTTCTTCTCTCGTCCCCGATCATTTTTCGTCCGTTCCGATAATTATTATTTTTAAATAATACACGCGCGGACGAGCGTCATCTCATCCAATATATTACATTATATTATTATTATTTTATTCCTCGTGTCGTATAAATAATATTACGTTGCATCGTCAATACCGAGTCGGTGTTTGCTAACGTATTATAACAGTACGATATACCTACCTAATACATACGCACGATATAACTACTGTCGTTGATCGTCATGTTGATGTCCGGCGCAATGACCAATCCAGACACCAGTCTGTTGGGTACGGCCGAAGGTCTGGTCGGCAGCCTGGCCAGCCTGACCGCTGTGCCCGGCTCCGGCGGCGGCGGCGGTGGCGGTGGCCAGCAAAAAGACACCACGTGGACCAAGCTGTTCGTCGGTGGACTGCCGTACCACACCACTGACAAGTCGCTCAGGGATCACTTCGCCGTGTACGGCGACATCGAAGAGGCGGTCGTCATCACGGACAGACAGTCCGGCAAGAGCAGGGGCTACGGATTTGTGAGTATATACCACAATCGCACGATCATAACATATTTTTTTTTATTACGTGGTATATCGAAATTAAATATTAACAAGGAACGATTGAGTCGCACCATCATATCGTCACACTTTTGTTTTGAAATTCCGCGTTTTTGACGAGCCACTGAATTTTTGAGGAACGCACGCTGCAAATTCGGTCTTACAATATTAATGCAATACTACAATATTTTAAATTCTTTTACGAATTCGTCTCGAGCCCCATTGAGTTAGCATCGGTGCAGTAGATGAGTAGAAGCTCGATTTTCAGCAAGGAGTAGGGGACATTTGTACATAAGTTCCATTTCTACCCCGGAAACTCTACTTAATTCTTTAACACTACAGCGGGGGTGCGTCCATTTCAATTTAATTCTCGATTTTTTTAATCAAAAATCGAAATTAATCATTTGGGTTTACCTACCTCCGATACGCAATAATGTAGACGATAATATATAATAATGTATACGTAACACACGCTGTTTTTATACATTTTGTATAAATTATGATGGTATAATAATGTAAAATATTGTAATTTTTCGTGCTCGGAGGCTATACAGTGCGTCAACGCGTGTGTCTGTGTTTGTGTTTGTCTGACAGATGTTCAAGGTATATGTGTGTGTGTACGTGTACGTGTACGTGTGTGTGTGTGTGTGTGTGTGTGTGTGCATACTGTGTAATATTTATGTACACGTATAGACGTATAGTCTATGACATGCATGTGTGTGTGTGTATGTGTGTATGTGTGCGCGTACGAGTGTGCGCGTGTGCATGTGTGAATGTTATCAAAGAAATTATTGGCAAAAACGGCGACAGTTTTCGAGCGATCGACGACGAAAAAGAAACCAAACACCAAACGTGCCGTATTCATTGTCGACTGTCGTCACTGTCCCACTTTTAATAATTAACTCGCTTATTGTTTGATTTGTGTTCCCCGAACGAATTTTTAAGTTTCCACGACACCTTGTATCACAAAAATCGATGCACAAATCGGTTTCGATGTTAAAAATATTAATTAAAATTGTGAAAATAATTTCAAAACCAGTTGCCATTTGCCACACCGTTGGTATCCATCGTGAAAAGACGTTTGCAGACGATAGTAATAATATAATGATATCATCATAATTTATGTGATCATCAAGTCGTTACACATTATTTTATAACAAACGCATTATATGATATGCGCGCGTATGCGTATGACGTCAGATCCATGAAAACTTTCGGACTGATAGTTTTATCCGTAGTATAAACTGTTATATATTATACCACATACCTACCAAGTTTACTCGATTGTACGTGTATCTATAATATATTAACTCGTTGTATAATATCTGTTATAATCTCTATCAACGTACCAAATATGCCTGCTATAAACGGTCAGCTCGAGTACCTACTCATAATATTGTATTATTATAAAATCATGGTCTAATAATACAAAGCTGTTTTCGCAGCTTCTCTGTTTAGGAGTCGTTTTTTTTTTCAAAAATCCGATCACGTTCGTGTCCGTCAGTCACTATACTCACTAAATATATATTATAATGTATACCCTTGTGTGTTATGTATAGGTATGTATTTATATATATATATATATATATATATATATATATATATATTAATTTATTATAAATTACAATATACCTACTATGTCGAAAAAATAGATGGAGGTAGGATGTATACAAGCTATCTAGGTACATATACCATACAAGGCAATAACAGAATTCTAGGAAATCGACGTGTCCGACATCTTCGTTTGATAATCGTATAAAATGGCCTGCCGTGATTCCACGAGGTGAACTATCCTGTATAATAAAATAAAGTCAAATATAACAAAGGAATAGATAGTTAGATAGGATATTTCTGTATTAACACGATAAGAGTGAAGCGTATTGGTTGAAATGGTTGTCATCTGAGATGAATAATAAATCTAACCATTATGGTTATACTATGTTGTAGTAACTCATCTCAATTTCTTATACTATAAGTTAATGTGAAATAATTAACTGATATCCTATGTCAAATATCAATGGATGTAGAACTCAAGTATAATAGTGTTACACGTGACACGTCAAGTACATTAACGTAAAAAACTACTATATACAAAAAAAAATGCATTGTTTTAAAAAACCTCAAATGGCCCTCGATAACTACCTAATATTAAATATTTAGATTTTATTTCTTCTTTTTACCTATAATGTTTCATTATTACACATGAAACTTATCATTTATTAATATTATTATATCACGACCCGATATGAGTTTATTGAGTTCACGTACTTACAACAAGTCTCAAATTCGTACTTTGGAAGTATAGACGCCGCATTAGAGTAGTATTCCATATAAGTAAACATAAATTATACATGGCATGTATATGTATATACAGCATATTATATAAACTATATATAATCACATAATTGTTTAATAATAATATATCACCATGATTTGAGCAAAACGTTTGAAACCATTTTTGTACACTGTAAAAAGTTTCACACACACAAATAATAGCATTAGACTTTGAAAGAAAGAAAAAAAAAAATGCGGGGACGCGGTAAAGGGTGATCATTGTAAACGTTTTTGCTTTTCATTCTGTAATAAAGTGTTGGAACGTACACAACGCTCGATGCAAGAAACAAAAGATTTGGTTTGTTCTCATTAAAATCGAATAATAAATAAAAATAATTGAAAAACAAATAAATTCCATTATTATTATAATCCTATGAGTATTTTATTTATATAATTTGAGCGATATACCTAGCTAGGTGCTATAAATTATTGTCAAAATAATATTAATTCGATGATACAACAATATTTGTTATTCAATTTTGTTAGTATTTTTTTTTTTCAAACGCCTTTTAACCAAGTAGAATTTAGTCGAAATATTTACTTTTTAAACTACCTGATTGAACGTTTTTCATTACCTACAGTGATTTCACTTTCTATAATTATTAGATTTTATTGCATTTTCTAATTTTTTTCGGTTGCAAATTTAATATAATAATTTACGACAAAAGAAAAATGAACTACGCGTTTACGAGTTTTTTGTTAAAGACGTGTGATAAATGCCAATGATTTTCACACGGCATGTTTAAACGCGTACAAGGTGGTCTTGATGCTTACCACGCGGTCGGCCGTGTCGATTAAAACATACCACATTAGATCCATTAATTTACATATACGTACCTATATTATACGTATATATATTCTTATAATATATAATCGCGCGCACGTGAACAAATCGCTTTTCCGGCGCGACGGCGTAATTGCATCGTGCAGTCCATTGGGAGACGACCTCGGAACGACATTTATTTCCATTACTTCCTTTCTCGCACGCCGGTCGCAGTTACTTCCGCTATCACCACCTTCACCATCCATCGCAGTCATCACGTGCTATAGGTGTCAAAAGGATATTCGTGTCTCGTCCCTGAGGATTCCGCCTTATGTATAAAAGGATGACTCTAGAACTAGTCCAATATATTTATTTATAGTTGTAGGCATATTATTATACGTGCAACACTCGCTACTATGCGTATATTATTTGTGTACTTCATATTACTTCATATAAGCCGGCTATATTACACGGAACACACAATATGACTACGTACTCCTACTGATGTTCATTTTTCAATGAAGCAGTGAACATCGCGTATTAATACAATATGCAAGTTTTGGGTTTTTTGAGACGAATAATAAAAACAAAAAAAAAACATAAATGCGTGACTACATCACATTAACAATCCCGTGCGTCACAACCACGACGTAGTCTTGTGTACATGGCGTTACCCAAGTCTCACCCTCTCATCGTGCACACACAAGTGCTCTTTTATCGTGACTATACGTAATACATATATATGCACATACTTTTGTCTCGGCGCTCGCGCCGGGCACGCTGCATATAGCACAACCACCCTCGGATTCCGTTATACTATACATATATAGGTATATTATAAACGTACGCACACCATATATATATTATTATATTCTTGCAAGCTCTTGCTTTCGCTCTCGACACGTAATTCAATTCTACCCTTCACATTTTATACTCACCTTCCCTCTGTGTCCAACTATAGTGCTATACAAAACCCTTCACCGACCACCACCGCTGACGATCTCTGCAACTCACCCACTACCTACATATTATTTATATATATTATAATGCACGAGGTGGATAAGTGCAAGCTCCCAGAAAAGCACCCTTTTACCCGGGAATTTGCTTCGTGCTCGCCAAATAATGTAACTACGATAATAATGATACGATGACAATCTTTGGTTTAATCAGGTGATAATGGGCGACAGACCTGCGGCCGAGAGGGCGTGCAAAGAACCGAACCCAATCATTGACGGGCGGAAAGCCAACGTAAATTTGGCCATACTAGGAGCAAAACCTCGAGGAAATTTACAGCCAGGTAAGATAATATATTATTTTATGTTTATAATATCTCTAGTTGGTTTAGTATATAATGTTACATATTTAAAAACATATAATAATACGACCGTGGTTAATCGTCGTTTTAAACTGTAAAAAAAAATATTATTATCGTAATATAACGCACAAAAAATGTATACTTACTCTTTACTCGGCCAAGTAAAATGATACACAGTATATAAAATATTTTATAGGTTATACACATATATAGTGATAGCATCGCATGTGGCGTTGTATATAACGTTCCGAAAACGTGCTCCATTTCAAACCGCTTTTATTTTCATACTGTAATATTTTCTCGGCTTTCATTAATTGGAATTTATACTTATCAATAACAACGAATGTTCATCGCGATGATCGAATTTATTGTTCCAGTGACATATGAACATGTATGATGTGTATGTTCTATAGTAAATACTGTAAATCGCGTAGTAGCATATCGTATACGCATTAAGAATACTTAATGAGATGATAATCATAGTACAGATAATAATAATAATATGTGCGTTATACACACAAATATACTGAGTGTTTTAAAAACGAACGTCACTATCAAGATAATCATTCTCAGTAATAAGGTGATGCGTGGAAAAAGAGAAAAATTATATCTTTTCAAATATTATCCATTTTAGGGGGATTACGATAAAATATTTATTTTTAAATTTAAGTCTTAAAATTGAGTATAAAAATTAAAAACACTCACGTTTTTTGAAAAAGAACAATAATTCTTAATATTTTGTTTTGTAACTACTTAAATATTATAATGGTGGCATTCGATGTAGAACTGGAGGAACACTGTATATGTATACAGATTATGTGAATACAAAATGCGTTATTATAATAACATAATGTACACGCGCGCCCACTCGACGATATAATTACACTTCGCAAAATAATACAACAATCGTCATTCTTTCTCATTTCCTATTATACTCTACATTATAATATTAAACTGAGGCGTAAATGGTGCTTACTTATTTTTCAAATATAAAAATTTAAAATACCTATCTAAATAATTATTAAACGTATATCCCCAAAATCTGCACTTTAATATTATAATAATATTATGATGTATTGCCTTCGCTAGGCGAGTATATAAACGTGACAGCGCATCATTCATGTTTTATTGTATCTGTTCAGAGAAAATTATCATTATTTATTATTGATGAAATTTTTACTCATATTATATTACAGTATAAAGACTGCTTAAAAAATTAACTCTAAAAACAAAAGTTCTAAAATGAAAACTAGTTTCGATCAAAGTACCATGTAAAAACTTTTCACCAGACGTAATAACCGTTATCCGGCGAGATTGCACAGTGGTTTTGCAAATCTAAAAAGTATAAATATTTTATACGTGACGTAAAAAACAAACCTTCTTATGATTCCGTTAAAAAAAAAACTTTTTTTTTTTATCTTTTCGTTCTCGCTCGTTGGTTTAAATCATAGCTTATTGATATCTGATGATATCAATCACCACCGACCGTGACACTAACTGTTTAATTACGATTATTAATATAATAATAAATTATACGCGTAATATTATGGGTTATGTTCGATTTATTAACGATTGATTTTATCATAGAGCATACAGACTATTACGTTAAATAAATCATATACCTATATAATATACACTATACAGTATATATATATATTACAATCAAAACGAACATGGTGTCATATAATACCTTATAATATAATATCACATAGGCTCAACTATAATAACTATTCAAGAAGACTCAAGCATCCCCAAAAATGCAAATCTCGTCCATGTTAAAAATATTTTTAATTTTTAAAAATTTCCCTGCTATTGGTCACTGTGTTCGTGTATTTTATCCAAACAAACGTAAATAATATTCTTAATATCTTGAGAATTTTTTTTTATTTTGGAAATCGGTTTGATATTCATTTTAAGTTTTATTTTCTATGTATGAATCATAACTAAACTTTCCGTAGTATAAATTACATTACACTACGAGGTTTTAGTCATTTTTATAAATCTGCATGTGTACCTATAGTAATTAAATTGTATACTTTTAAACAAATACGACTTAGTGTTATATCTTGGTATGATAATAAAGTTATATCTTCGAGTTTAGCACCCCTAGGCCACGTTTTATGTACAGAGTCTCGCACCAAAATATGCAAATTACCACAGCTATGTAACAAGTAATATACTCATATATTATAAATTATTATATAGGCGTATCGTACACATATTATTATTATACAGTTTTAATAGTTTTATAATTTTGCATTTTACTTACTTCAGCCGCCACGAGTAGACCGATATAGAGGTACACTCTCAGTCAGCAGCGTATATATTTACAGTATATTTATAATATAGTATATGCACACCACGACGTAATGTACATATTTTTCACCTTTTCAAAACATAAAAACTTACAGCTATATAACGACGAACGGCTGGAGGGACCTCCGTACATAACATATGGTTATCCTGTTGGTCTCGTATGTGTATACAGTGTACAATGTGTGTGTATGTGCAGTACCGGGTTGGGAGGGGCGATGCCCAACTATATAATATAATATCGGTGAACGCTCGGCGGGTCATTGACACGAAACCAACTGCCCCTGCTGCTCACGGGCCGTGCCAAATTAGAACGAAGGGAACGCTAACCCCGAGTTTTATTTCTGTATACGTAATAATCATTCACAGTTGCACGTTTCGTTTATATTAAATATATATATATATATATATATATATACATACACACTGCTGCCGTTGCTGTTGTTGCAGGGTATACAGGGTACAGTTTATCACCGGGTTGTTCTACGCTGTTTTTTGTTATACTGTCTTTAAATTTTATTTTATTTGATATAATAAAATAAAATTATGATATAATAATGCAATACCGTTAAAATGGGATTTTGGAAACTTATCGAAAATCATATTAGTAACTAATGTTGTTCTATCTATTTTTGCGAGCTAAAAATCTAAAGATTGAAATACATTTCGTTATTGGAGATTATAATAATTTTATTTTTTCATCAAGAACGGTAAATATATTGAAATTTCAAACTTCGCGATGTGCGGTATTTTAAGGTTTTTATAAATATGAACTAGACCGTGTACTATGAATAATATTATCTATTATACGAGGGTGAGCGCGTGTACAATTTCACTCTGTATATACGCGATACGATGACGTTTGGTACGTATTATCGTGTGTATGACAATATATATATATAGTATTATATTTTATATGCGCGCGTGCGTTACGTACAGTTTTTTCCTCTTTCACCCCAAACCGGATTAGACGTACAGTTTTTTTTTTTTTTTTACAATCTGGTCCGTCACCATCGTCCATATTATTATCTCTTCTATTCATTCATATTTGATATTATGCGTATATTTTATCATTTCATGGGTTATAATAATATATAACTATATGTATTAAATAAATCTAAAATTTCGCCCCACACTCGCGTACAACACATGTGTATCTACGTCTGTCGGGGCATTGAACGCTAGTATACACACAGATAGGTATACGTTATGTATATTATACAGCATGTGTAATACGGGTGTCTCACGTGTAATATTGCAGGTCTATAATATATTATCATGTACTATAATACGATCTAACTGTAAAATGGATAGTTATATCATTTATTATTCATTTTTTACAACGAGATTCATACCAGAAACAATTTTCGGTAATTTCCAATACCGATATCAAATTTATAAATCGTGATATCGTATAACAATTGCAAGGTATGCATATTTTTTAATATAACTACTTCTACTAACTAGTCTATTTGTAATATATCCCTAATAGTTATATTAATTATCATAGATTCAAACCGGTATCAAATAAATTATGAACTTATAATTAGAACCATATCTCAACGACCAAACTTTTTTTTTTGTCAAAAAAAAGTAAATAGGTACGCAATTTAAACAATATAAGTAAAATTAAGAATATTATGTAATATTAAAAATCTAGGGCATAATTAACTTAAAGAAAAAACCAAAACATTAATGTTCAAACAACCAACTGATAAGATAATTATTTTATTTAGATTTTCCGTCAATTAGTTTTTAAATAATAAAATTAGTGATAAATTAGTGTTTTTTTCAAGTACTAAAAGTGATAAAGATATTATGAAATAATCTTAATTTTTAATTTAACATATTGATTAAAAAATTATCATTGTGTAACACTATTGATTATACTTAAATACGGATTCAAAAACTTTGCGGTTTTTGAACAGTCCGATATTTGTAAAGCGCCCAAAATAAATTGAGTGTAAGTGTATCTTAATATGGTAAATCAATTACATTCCAACTGTGTATGCATTTTGACGAGAGTATCATCTTATAATATACTATATATAAATCAATAAACATTGAATAGTATTAGAGACCTATATTAGTATTTTTAAAGTTATTTAATACAAAATATATGATAAATTATATATTGAATACAACGATTATAGCTTAGGTACGATTTCTCCAAGCAATTAAAAAGAAGAATATTTTTCGATTTGTTGTCATTGTCTAAATTTTATATTGGTTGCTTTGTATTTATATTATTTATGTTAAAAACTACTCGGATAAGTTCTGTCGAAAACAACCAAACAGAAACTTTTTTTATATGTTTTAACTTAATTGAATTACGGGCACCGTTTACTCTGACTTATCAAAACTTTAGACATGTTCTACGTTATACCCACGTCCTACACACACTATACCTAGATATCTGCTATAATACTCAATAATTAATTTTATTAACCTATAAGCGTTTCTATGAAAATTCTTAAAAATTTTAATTTTTATCTGAACTTTGAATAGGTACCTAAATAAATATAACTTATAGTAATAGTAACCTATTTTATTTATAGTTTATACGAATATATCTATACATTTTCAAACACGATTTACTGAGTCAAACGCATCTGTTCGTCTTTGAGAATCATTTTATACATAATTTATTTATTAAGATAGTTACACCG